ACTCACTCTCTCACTCACTCACTCTCACACTCACTCTCACACACACACACACACTCTCTCTCACTCACTCTCACACACACACTCACACACACACACACACACACACTCTCACTCACTCTCACTCACTCACACACACAGCTGATCGTTGAGTGTATTGAATGAGCTGACCTTTCCCATGATTCCATTGACTGTGTGTTTGTGTTTCAGGGAGGCATGTAAGAAGGACGTCTCCTGCGATTATTTCTTCAGCATCGACGCTGATGTTGCTCTGACCAATCCAGATGTTTTGCGGATTCTCATTGAAGAGAACAAGTGAGTGAACATGAGCAGACGTGCCACGTTACATGTTTCAACAGTATCATGTTTTCTCTGTGATGACTTTTCAAGCATTTCATCATTTTTTGGATAAAAACCATCATCAAATAAAACCTAAACTCAAAGGTCTTCACTACAAACCCCTAAAATAAAAGTTTGGTTTAAGCTGAAGAAATGATGACAAATATATTATTATTTTATAGTAAAATGTACATCGTAAATCAATTTAGAAATTATTAAAACATCCATGTTTTCATTTATTAAACAAAAGTTTTTATTTTTATATTTTCATATGATTACATTTTAATATTGTTAATGTTTTATGAATTTGTTTGATTTACCATTTTTTTTGTATTAAATTGTAAAACACAATTCCGAAATATTCAAACAAGACAACACAGAATTTGGGGGAAAAAATAAAACAGATTTCATAGAGCTCTATTGTTACATTTCTAATTGTAAAACATTTTAGTGAGTTATTACACTGTAAAAGTTTTATACACTCAGTTGATTTTTGAAGGTTACAATTTAATGATCTTTTAAAAGCTAAAAAAAACATTAAACATAAAAAATAATAAAATGATACAAATGGAATTTGGGAGATAAAACAATAAAGCTCTTTTATTGTTAAATTAAAGTAATAGTAAATTATTACATAGTAAACGTTTTTAAAATCTAGTTGATTTTTGAATGTTAAAATGTAATGAACAAAGAACAAAAAAGGGTTTAAGCATTAAAACAATGAGTGTAATACTGCTTTAAATTGTTGTTTTTCCCCCCCCAAAAAATAAAAAAGTTTTATGTTTAATTCAATTGTATTTTTGTTTTTCAGAGCAAAAAATAAATATCGTACATTTGTCCCTGATTTACAGAAGAGAGCCACTAGAATGCCATTCAGTGTAACAATCTTGTCAGGCATATTTACAACAATAACATTTAAAATGCTCTCTTATTCTTTTATATATGTTAATATGTACACGTCAGAATAAGCATGTTGTTTGAATTTTTACATAAATATTGTGTTACACTGAATGACGATGTAACATTATTTCAACCAAATTTTGACATTTTATTCTTCAAAAACGTATTTGAACCCTTAAAAGTAGACTCTTGCATTTAATGTGCTTTCTATGGACATAAAATCACTTTTGTAAATTTCTTTTGATGCAGACATCTTAACGTCTTTGACCCGCCTTTAAAACAGAAACCGAAAAATGTATCAATGTAATGAAATACCCAAATGTATTTGGGGATTTCATAGGGCTTATAATTGTTAAAATTTCAATAAATTGTAAAATTGTGAAAGTTATATAAACTCAATTGACAAATACTAACACACACACTCTCTCTCACTCACTCACTCATTAACACACACACACACACACACACACACTCTCTCTCTCTCACTCACTCACTAACACACACACACACACACTCTCTCTCACTCACTCACTCATTAACACACACACACACACACACACACACTCTCTCTCTCTCACTCACTCACTAACACACACACACACACACTCTCTCTCACTCACTCACTCATTAACACACACACACACACACACACACACTCTCTCTCACTCACTCACTCACACACACACACACACACACACTCTCTCTCACTCACTCACTCATTAACACACACACACACACACACACACACTCTCTCTCACTCACTCACT